TTACATTCAAATTTAAATATTAGGATGTTTCGTCCTTAGTTTCGCAAACAATTTGTTAACCTCGTTTAATATAAATAACATGGTCTCGTTTCGGAATGAGTTAAAAGCACTTTACCCCAATTTGCAATTGTGTTAGATATGAAAACACATTTGAATGCTTTGTTTGTGGTATTAATTTAAATGTTGACCATGACTTGGGAAAAACAGCCTAGCAAACACTTTCGGCTTGCGTTCTGATTAAAACAATTCGCATCGACATGACATTGTTTTCAATAAGCAAAGCCACCACCCCACAAGACATCCATTCCAAAGGAGGAACTCTTCAGAATTGTTTAACACACTTGCACACAAAATTTTCACACCAATCCTCATTTCGAAATACTCCTCCATACGAGTTAATCTATTCAATAAATTTCGAAATATGAACACGTGATATTTTATAACATTGTGATTTGGTGAAAAATGTGGATAGGTGAGGCTATTGTATTGAGTGATTAGAAAACATAAATAAACATATAAATGATAATAATTAAAGAATATGCACACATGATACTCTAAGAACCTTAATAATTTCCCTTTCCTTACCTTACATGAACTGTCAAACATGGTTTACATATATTTTAGAACATTTTCCAAGTCTCACGGGGCAGGTACAAATGTGGGTGGGTCAATCCCAATGTGGAAAACCATAAAAGACTATAGCAAGCTTTTTTTTTCTAGGATGTGTCAGAGCATAGAATGCCAGAACAATCATAAATTACCTTACTAATTAACCACAATGGCCAAAAACGGAAATTAGCAGATAATGAGACTTCCAAGAGTATTAAAGGCCTCGTTTGGGAACAGATTAATTTAGTAACTTTTTAGTTATTGCCCGGGGGGGATAAAATATGAGTTAAAAAAAATTTGTATGTGTGCGGGGATGACTTTTGACTTTTTAAGAAAAAATGTGCAAAAAGTTAAAGAGAAAAGAAAATCTTTGACTTTTTGATATGGGTTAGTTGGCTTTTTGCTTTTTACTAACGGTCGCTTTTAAACGAGGCCTAAATAAAAGTTTAGGGATGATTTAATTCAACAAGTCATTCATTTGGGATTTCTAGGTCAATCACCCTAAAATTTAAGGGCCAGTTCCATTAATTAGACTTTTTTATCTTTTAGATTTGATTGATATAAATTTATTTATAAAAAAATAAATAAATTAATAAATTTATCACTTGATAAATTTATCAATAGGATTTAATAGGTAGTAAAAATTTCAAAAATAAGATTTATTGATAATTTATCCTAAAATTCAAGGGGAATTGACTGGTAAATCCCCATTTTTGAACTTATGGTGTGGATGGTCCCAAATGTTTTCTTATGCACCATTTGGTCCTCATGTGCATTGAATGACTATAATGCCATTAAGTTCAAACCCGTGTGGGGGTTTCACTAACGTAACGGATGAATGTGGTTGGGTGTCACGTTGATGGATTTTGCAATATGGGAATCAGACCCACATGCCCTGACCCTTAACGTTTCAAATCTCCCAAATTGGAAACACCACTCAATTTGGTATGTAAATGAATATTGCCCTAAAATTGAGGGGTGAAAATCGGTGGTTCAATATTCAAATTCAGTCAATTGTAACCCACGTTATAGATTTGGTGTGGCTTTACAAAGATTTGGAGATTCAAAGCGTTGCGTCTGGAATCGCTTTGGTGTTTCTGCAGTCTTTGGTTTGTGATAAACAGTAAAGAGTGGTGCGACGTGCCGACCGTGCGACGTTTACGGGAATATTACGGCGGAGGAGTACCTTACTCACACTCGTCAACGATGATTGGTAAACTTAAGTACATGATTTTGTTTACAGAATTTATGTTTCGATTCGTGTTTACAAAACTTGTTCACAGTCATCGACGATGAGTGGATTCTACCATTGTGGTTGTTGATATATGTTACGTATGACATGTTTAAGTGCTAATTATGTTGGGCAAAATCAGAAGGTTGTAGTGCGTAGTTGTTTACGTGGGTAGGTGTGTGGTGTCGCAATCATAAAGACCAACTGTATTTCCTATTAAAACGCTGAGAGTGGTGGGGTGTGTTAATAATGTAATGTGTGTGTATGTGGGCCTTCCAATTTTTTTGATGTGGTTGTAGTTAAAATGTTTTATTGTCTTTGAGATGTGTGTTGGGCATTAGTCTACGTAGTTGTGTGGATGTCAATGTTGCATTGGTTGGAACGGTAAGGGATGGTCGTCACACATTAGATTTGTATTCATGTGAAGGGAAAAATATTGTGGGGTTACGTCGTTATTTGCATGTGGGCATTTTGAAAATAGGATGTGTTACGTTAGGTTGGTGTTGGTATGTCCATTCCGTTATAACTGTATGATATGTAATTTCCGTACATTATAAAGTCAAACTTTAATATAAAATGTTATGTGAAAATATCGTAATGTTGTTATTGTTACTGGTTGGACGGGGTCACTCCAATGTTTTTTTTTTAATAAGTACCTGCTACTGTGAAGAGTCTTTTTGTTGTAAACCCTGTGCGTGTGGTGTTGACGTGTTATAATAGTGTAAGGTAGTTACGAAACTTTTTTGTTTTGAAAGTTATGCTTTTGAAACTGATATTTGATTTGATTTTTTAAATGCAGGTGGTAGGAGGACAAATAGTCCATGGACACGTTCATGTGAGCGTAAACGTCAAGATGCAGCCAGCAAAACAATGGCAAACGAACTTGCGGTACGTAGACAAGGACGGATTTTGTTCAAACAGACAAAAATTGTTAATCGTCCAAGTGCGACACCGAAGCTTAACTGTATGAGGCTCAACTTCCGGTCGAACATTGCAGGCATTGTGAAGTTAGTGTACGTGCTTAATCTGCGAGACGAACACCTTGTGCACCTTAAGAAAACACCGTTCTGGTTGATGTTTGAAGCAATTTTGGTAAATCAACTTGACCAGGCGGACTTCCGCAAAAGGGACAACTTGGTGGTAAATATCATCCGGGCGTACAATGCGCGGGACAGGATGTTTCGCATTGGAGGACGAAGAGTGTGCGTAAGCGATGAAGACATCAAATTAATATTTGGGATACAATGTGGGTTTGGTTGCCTTGATTTGACCTCCCAACCTAAGCCACCGTCAGATTTCGTACAACGTAGGTGTATTAACACTAGTCGAATAACCTCGAAACTGATACGGACCCTACTAGTCGAAGCTGCGGAGGGTAGCACTGCTCGTGATGTGGAAGACACTGTGAAGTTGCTATGTTTATATGCTTGTGGGAAATTATTCTTCTCAAATTCTGGGGAAACAATCAGCTGGGCTCTAATTCGGTATGTGGATAATTTGGATGCAATGAAAACCTACGATTAGACGGGGGCAATACGTAGCTCGTTGATGAGTTCGGTGAGGGTATTTTATCGAACATTTGAAAAAGTCACCGGATGTGTCGTCGCATTGATTGTTAGTTTGCTTCTTCTTTTTTTTTTCCTCTGGGTGTGCCATTAATTGCAAGTGATTTGTTATATGTTGTACGCGGTGTAGTCATGTAGCTAACATGGATCGTATTGTTTGTTGTGTGTGATGTGGGGTACAGTATTGGCTCTGTGAACATTCAACGATCATATCGCCGAAATCTACAGTCGCGTTTCCCAGGTTCATGAAGTGGGATGTTGCCACATTAGTAACAGCGGCACGTGGGGTCAATCTATCAGGGCATGTGGATTTTCAGGTAATAGTAAATTGTAGTTATGATTGTATTATACGGGACATCGTTTCATAATTGTTCATATATTTGTTATGTTGAATGTTGGACGATTGATGAAGAAAGACTATGAGGTTAAGTTTTTTGAGGTGGATGGGGTAAACTACGGTAGGAGTGTTGGAAATGCAATTGAGGAATTCGGTGGTGGTGTGCATGAGGATGATTTTGTTAATATAGGAGTGGATGGTAATGTGGAGGGTGTGGACGGAGGAATTTATGGTAGAAATGTAGAAAGGGGTTCGTCTTCAGTCCGTTTTCAGACACCATCCAGGGATGTTCCACGAAACGCAGGCAAGCACGTAATGGATGTTGGGATACACGTTTGCTACGCTACGGAGAAAATTGTGGAGCTTGAAATACAGATCAACGAGAAAGACATTGTGATTTTAGAGTTGCGTGCAGAAGTGGAAAGACTGAGGCAGGCGAATGAGGTGCAAACGTTGCATCTTGTTGGAGGTTTTGGAAGCTTGATGCAAGCAAAGGACGATGAGGTGAAGAAACTCAACACTCAAAATGCTGAATTGCAATGGCCAATCAATGTTTTAGAGGATTAGCTTGCGGAGCGTGAAGTCCATAACGTGACACGGGCTTTTTGTCATATAGACATGAATGTAGATGGTGTGAATTATGGTTTGAGTGGAAACGAACATGTTGCAGACCTAACAAAAAATGCCACCCCCAACAGAGTGTTTGTAGTGAATAGGGATGCAGTTCCAGTTTGGGATGTCACACCGGTGAGGGAACAAACAAACAGTGTTAGTGAAATGCAGCATGGTGTAATGCCTGGAACAGAGGTGGTGATTATCAGTCCAAACATGGCAGAAGGTGGTAGGTTGAATGTTGGGAAAAGTTCTTTTATGTGGGATGTCAAACGCAAAGAAAGGAAGGGGTTTACACTAACGGGGGTTGAGTGTGTGGGTGTAAGTGGGCAGATGAGCAAATTGAACGTGGTGCATCTTCCTTCATCCATGAGTAATGTAGTCTGCAATGCCAGTAATACTGGGTGCACGGATGTAATTGAGGTGGATGATGTTGACGTAAAACCAAAGAAGAAGTCAGGATTTGACATTAACAACAAACACGCGGTGTGGAAAATGATGACAGCTGCGGAGAAGAAGAAGATAACCGACGCGTACAACAGAGATGGTGATAGGTATGTACGGAGTAAGTGTTTAGATTTATCTTTGCTAATGTAATACATTTTTTTGTGCGATGACGTGTGTTGTGTGTTGTATGCAGTGTTGTGATGTGGGATGGGCAGGGTCATGGTGTTGCTGTGTATTTCACGGATGTGAAATCACTTGTGCGTCAATCTGAGATACGGGGGAATGTAAGTTAGGGGATTTATTCAATCTGTTTGATGTTTATTGTTTTTTTTTTCCAACCATGCAATAATCCAACATGTGAAAATGTCACAGGTGATCGATGCATATGCTATTATGCTAAATGCTGAGTAGGAGAGGATAAATGAGGGCGTTGATGCTGCAGACAAATCTTATTTCTTCAGTAGTATATGTCTAGTAAGTTTGTGATTGTGAATGTTATGTTTGTTTATGCGATGTAATAATGTGTAACATGTTCGCATGGTGATGCAGGACATGATGAAGAACAACAACGTACGGTCAAGGAATAGGTATGTGTTGGACAACCTGCGTGCAGCTAAGCTCTTCCGTTACGTACATTTCCCGCTTTGCAAAGACTCACACTGGACGCTGGTCGTGTATGACACTGAGGATGGGAGTTTGAAGCATTTTAACTCGATGAGGCCGAGGAACGGAATTGTGGACGTA